CCACCAACCAGGATAGAGGCCAAACATTTTTCAACAGTCCCTCTTTTGGCTATCCAAATTATATTTTGAATTGTTATGAGAAGCTGAGCATTGTTCAAGTTTTTCATCTCTAAAGACCAAATTTTTTTCTGCTCAAGTCCACCAGTTACTTTCAGAACTAAATTTAAACTCGACTCCACACAATTGAAAGTGTCTTACCTGACAGTGACACACACGCCATCCTGCCAGTGTCATCTCAGGATCGATTGGTCACATGGCAATTCTCCATCAGGCCATTCCTCTGATCTGCACAAGCCTGGCCTGACACAAAAAGAGCACAAATTGACCATAAGTCGCTTGGGTATATTTTTTAGCAATAGCCAAAAAAAACATTGTATGGGTCAACATTATAGATTTTTCTTTTATGCCAAAAATCATTAGTATATTAAGTAAAGATCATGTTCCATGAAGATATTTTGTAAATGTCTTACCGTAAATATATCAAACCTTTTTTTGATTAGTAATATGCATTGCTAAGGACTTCATTTGGACAGCTTTAAAGGTGATTTTCTCAATATTTAGATTATTTTGCACCCTCAGATTCCAGATTTACAAATAGTTGTATCTCTGCCAAATATTGTCCTATCGTAACAAACCATACATCAATGGAAGGCTTATTTATTCAGCTTTCAGATGATGATTTCAAAAAACTTACCCTTATGACTGGTTTTGTGGTCCAGGGCCACAATTGTCTTTTTTACACAAAAGTAGAGCAAGCACCTTGCAGCTGTGGAGGAATGGTTGCAATGTGTCCATCTGGATAGCAGTCACAAGGCTGCAGGGTGAACAGGATTCTGAAGTGTTTGAGAAAACACACACGATTAAGTATGTGCACACAAACTCACTCTATAGAGCTAACAAACACTCATAGGTCTGCTCGAGAGTATGCACACTCAGTTATCAATCACACACGCATCTCTAATAGTCCAGACAAACAAATGTCAGAGCTGACAGCAGCATGGTCGGGTTACTCATCCATCAGACAAATAATGCACTGCTTCACGGATCAGATACCTGAATGAGAACTGCTGCTGCGTATGCCTTGCCATTCATTTTAGATGTAGCTTGAAGAGGCATGGATGGCAAGGAGGGAGTTTTGAGAGATGATGTCTCTCCCATAGAGAGATAGCTAGCTAGCGTCTCTTCTACAGGGGGCATTCTCTCATAGCCGTTTTCGCGCACCGCCTCGATATTCGCATAACTGGTATGCTGAAACCGATGGATGCGTGAGGAAAACGGCTTCTTCCATTCCTTCTCGATCTCCGTATGGAGATCAGGAAGGAAAGGAAGACTCACCTGAGCTGGAGGGTTATGGCCAGAAAGATAACGTTCGTCGAGACGACCTCGCGACGCCACTTCCTTAGTCCGCTTCCATGGCAAGTCAAGTCTTGCCGTGGCGCGATCCATAACCTCTAAGAGCTCATCATACGCAGGGCAGGAGGATTGAGAAGGCTCAGCCTCAGCTTCTTCGCTCTCATCATCCATTTCCTGCTCTTCCTGGGCTGAAACCAGCAGAGCACTGGCCCCTGGATCAGATGATGTTAAAGAGAGAAAATCATCCTCCAGTGGCTGTCTCTCGCCCCCCGCCGATGAGCGCGAGAAGGAAAGTCCCTCTCTAAACTCATCGGCCAGGTCCACCTGAGATCGCCACGAGCTCATTCTCCTCCGTGCCTCAGCAGCGGAGGGTCCTGAACCGCGGGAAGCAGATGGCTGCCCCTCTTTACTTGAAAAGAGAGACAAACGAGAACGGAGTTTTTTCTTTGGAAAAAACTCGCAATGCACGCAGATTGCCCCCTCGAGGACATCGCGTGCGTGCTCCTCGCCCAAACAAACAACACATAGATCGTGTGTGTCATCTGGTGTCAAATAGCGCTGACACGGATGCACACACCTTCTAAATGCTCTACTAGTGCTCGCCATAATATTAATAGATAGCTCTTACTTTTTCCTTGAAAATGCACGCTTCAAACAGAACAGTCAATGAAGACGAAGAAGAGAACGATGTGTAGCTCCCGGCACCGATTTATACTGTAGTCGCACCGGTAGTGACGTCATGGCTGTCGCCGGCCAACGAGTTGGTGTTTTTTCAATGTATGCTTCAGATACGAGTCACGACGAGGCGTTCCCCATAGCGACCCCTAGAGGACGCAGTTCGAAGTTCCCATGAAAGGGAACAGGTAGAGGCAAGGATCTATGTGCTGGTATTTAACAGAAAAACTAGAACAAACAATACGCCAAAAACCAAAGAACAGAATGACTGGCAAACAGAACAACCATTACGTTCAACAACTCACAAGGAACTAAAAAAAAAAACTAGGGCTATATATACGCACTGGGGGCTAACAAGCTTAACAAGATAAGACACACCTGGGGAAACTAATCAAGGGGAACCAATGAACAAACGGACTACAAACTGACTACAAACACCACGGCAGACAGGAAATGACATAAAAGTCCAGGGCAAGGCACAGAGAGCATGAAACAAAAACAAGAAAGAGTTTATTTGTGAGGAGAGCAATCACATTTATTTTTTAGAACCGAAATAAAACTGAACACCTCAAAATTACAAAACAAACAAAAACAATATCTTTCAAAAAGGTCTATTCAGTATAATGGATAAATAAAATAATGTTAAGTAAAATTAAAAAGCCAAAGCCTTCTTGCAGTGGCTGTGATGGTTTCGGCCTCGTTGCCGGCAGCAGTCATGTCCTCATCTCATATGTAAAAACACCTGTGATTCACAAATACTTGCTAAGGAAATCGCATTCACTAAAGTAGCCTTGTTGAAAAGTTTGGGTGAGTAAGGGCAAAACGCACAAGATGCAGTACTTTCAGTGACCTGTAATAGGCAGTATCACGTCTTTTGTAGCAGAAATAAACTGCTGCAGAAAAAGCTAGGTCCATGCAAAATGTAATGTGTAATTGCAACACTCATTTCAAATGTAGTGGAGTAAAGAGTACAGATACTCATTCAAAAATATAGTGAAGTAAAGAGTAAAAGTTGCTAATATCTTTGATACTCCGTACAACTACAAAGTATCCAAAAATATACTCAAGTACAGTAACTAATTACATTTGCTCCAATACTTTACACCTCTGTTCTTAAGTGACTACAAAGGGCATTTTGGGCTTCAAAATTGATGCATCAGCTAGAAAAGAGGTCTTCAAGGCCAAGAACCTTTGAAGGACAGAGATTCCAAGGACCCTGTTACAAACCGTGTGTTTATTTTAGCCTGGCCTATAACACAGCATATCGTATCACATTGATGAATATACATATGATGATTCTTACAATGATTGTTTTAATAACTTTTCAATATTGATGTACAAATTTGTATATTTTCAGTCAAATGTAATATGCAACGTACTTTTGAACTTTGGAGGGAAAATAAAGCATTTAGAAAAATTTAGCTTCTTAACTGCAGCTTTGATTGAAGTTAAACCAATACTGTATTTTTGTGCATCCCATATTTTCATGTTCAAATAAAAAATTCTAAAAAATAATTGGTAGACCCCTGCTGTACTACTGCAGACCCCCTGTTGAAAACCCCCTAAGCCAGTGGTCGCCAACCCGTCGATCACGTCACCACTGTCCCAGTAGCTCCCGACAACAACAGAAAAATAAGTACAAAAAATGTATTACATTTCTTCATTCTTTGTACTGTATGTTTGTACTTAGTTTTCTGTTTCTTCGGGAGCTACTGGGAAAGTTATAAAGAAAAATACATCACAAGTCTGTAAACAGAACAGTTGAGATGCTGAAGACGGACGTAAAGAGGAAAATATACTGTAGCAGGCAGAGCAGCTCACTGTTCACTTTGGGCGAAATATAGGAACAAATCTTAGATTCTGGGGGGTGAAGGGTTACATGAATGTATCACTGAAGGGAACTGACTGTCTTCAGAAAAGTTTTGATAGCAATGGGATTTCCTAAATTTATTCCTTGAATGAAGTAGTATTTATTAGCACAACCAAGAAAATGCCATATCGCTGCTGTTCCATAAGCGCCACCTGCTGTCAGAGAGTAAAATTTGCATTTAATTCAGCCCATCTGCTGTTTTTGTATCATGCAGGTACTGTATGTATCTGAATCAGCCATGAAAAATAATGATCGGTGCATCACTAATTAAAATACTAAATAAAAGGCCTCAAATTGGAAGTACAATCTGGGCTGTCTTTTTCTATCAATTCTTCTATAGGTAGATCTTGTCTTTCATAAAAGCCGAGATCAGGGATCATGGGCTTAAAAAGGTTGGTGACCACTGCCCTAAGCTATAACGTGCACACTCAATATGTTTTTTTTTTAGACACTGTCACTAGATTATTTTATATTTTCTGAAAAAAAAAAAAACAAGTGAGAAGTGTTCTCTGTGGTTGTTTGTTTGTTGCCATGTGGTTGCTAGAACATCTCTAGTTTCTAGCTGCTTACTGCCCAGGAGTTTCAGATACCTCATTCAATACAAGTCTATGACATTTTTGCAAAAATCACAGATCACGTTGAAAAGTAGCAACACATCCTAAAACAAAACCCTAAGCTGAAACAGTGATGCTTGCCTTAGCATAATAAATGTTTAGCACCTGTAAATCTGTAAGAAAATCTGAAGTCATATATCATTAACGCATTATCTGATATAAAAATGACCTGCAGAAGTCACACACACCCTATAAACACAACAAAAGGGCATCATGGATGAATAATTATTCTGTTATCAAGTTCTGATATCATCAGTTTATTTGTAACATCCACCAACCAGGATAGAGGCCAAACATTTTTCAACAGTCCCTCTTTTGGCTATCCAAATTATATTTTGAATTGTTATGAGAAGCTGAGCATTGTTCTTCATCAAGTTTTTCATCTCTAAAGACCAAATTTTTTTCTGCTCAAGTCCACCAGTTACTTTCAGAATTAAATTTAAACTCGACTCCACACAATTGAAAGTGTCTTACCTGACAGTGACACACACGCCATCCTGCCAGTGTCATCTCAGGATCGATTGGTCACATGGCAATTCTCCATCAGGCCATTCCTCTGATCTGCACAAGCCTGGCCTGACACAAAAAGAGCACAAATTGACCATAAGTCGCTTGGGTATATTTTTTAGCAATAGCCAAAAAAAACATTGTATGGGTCAACATTATAGATTTTTCTTTTATGCCAAAAATCATTAGTATATTAAGTAAAGATCATGTTCCATGAAGATATTTTGTAAATGTCTTACCGTAAATATATCAAACCTTTTTTTGATTAGTAATATGCATTGCTAAGGACTTCATTTGGACAGCTTTAAAGGTGATTTTCTCAATATTTAGATTATTTTGCACCCTCAGATTCCAGATTTACAAATAGTTGTATCTCTGCCAAATATTGTCCTATCGTAACAAACCATACATCAATGGAAGGCTTATTTATTCAGCTTTCAGATGATGATTTAAAAAAACTTACCCTTATGACTGGTTTTGTGGTCCAGGGCCACAATTGTCTTTTTTACACAAAAGTAGAGCAAGCACCTTGCAGCTGTGGAGGAATGGTTGTAATGTGTCCATCTGGATAGCAGTCACAAGGCTGCAGGGTGAACAGGATTCTGAAGTGTTTGAGAAAACACACACGATTAAGTATGTGCACACAAACACACTCTATAGAGCTAACAAACACTCATAGGTCTGCTCGAGAGTATGCACACTCAGTTATCAATCACACACGCATCTCTAATAGTCCAGACAAACAAATGTCAGAGCTGACAGCAGCATGGTTGGGTTACTCATCCATCAGACAAATAATGTACTGCTTCACGGATCAGATACCTGAATGAGAACCCTTCAATGGTTCCTACAACTTGAAATCTAAAGCATTCAAGTATTCTGATGGATTCTTGATCTTAAAGGAGGTTTGATTCAAATTTTGCTGCATGTATAAAAGCTCTGTAAGCATATAGCTGCCTCCTGTAAATGTAAATCATTCACATACACACATATATTATTCATTCACAAGAAGACCAGTAGGATGCATTAAGCAAATACATAGGGTAAGTTTTGATTTCATGCCAACTTTAAATCCATTTTTAAAGTTTTTTTTTTCTCCAGCAGCATACATGTTTAAACACAGATAAAATTACTTAATTAAATTACCAATGCATTATTATTACTATTATGGTATTTGTATATACTAAGCCACTGTGCATGTGTGTGCGTGTATGTATATATACGCACACCAAATTATTAAATGTTTTATATAACACATAAAACATACATCACAAATGTTTCCTCAACCTGACACATGAAAACCAGGCCAGTGTAAGAGCAAATAAGCATTTATGTAACTGTGAAGTTTCCCCTCTGTGACCACTAGCCTCAATCTCCCATATAAACAGCCTATACTGCACTGTTTAACATTTGCAGCCTGCTATATATAAGACAAGTAGTTTTTTTATTTAATTTTTTTTGACAGATTGCAACAGACAGCAGGAGACTTCAAGTAACCACACATTTTATTTCTATGTGCTAAAAAAGGAAAGGAAAAAATGTGTAACAGTTTATATATGTTATTTTAATCTCCAAAACAACCAGATTCTCTGTTAAAAAAAAATAAAAGAAAATAAGAAAGAAAGAAAGAAAGAAACAGCTGACTCTGCTGAGTAAAAATTGGAGAAATATGTAAAGATGTCTACTTTAATGACAGATTGATACAAAAACAAACATATAAAATACGAGTCTATTTGAGCTCTGTACAAGTAGACAAACACAAACCCTTCTTCGCAAAGACCCAGAGGGAGCTGAGAGACAGTTTTGCATACGAGAGCAGAACCACAGCTCCCATGTGGCACTGATAGAGCGCCATCTGCTGGTGACAGCAAACAAGCCACGACCTCCCATCAGTAACAGACACTGCTACTGATTGATAACTAATCTAATAACTATAATAACTAATACGACTGATGCACTCATTATGTTAACAGACGTCCCTATTAAATTAAATGAAATTGAAATTAAATTAAACAGTTTTTTTTTCCAATATTGATTTTAAAAATAGAATTGATATAATACAATTGATTAGCCTATATTAGTTATGCTTGTAGTATTATAATAGTATGCTGCATTAACAGAATCATCGGCGAAATACAATACTAAACTTCAACCAAGGTCTTGAGAGTTTACTGCCTTCTTACAGTATACAGTCCCTCAGTGACCCAAATGTGCTGACAGGTGAATTAATCCATATTCAAAACAGTCCTTGCTGGGTCTCACTCTCATTCACTAATAGTGTGAGTGAGTGAGTGTGTGTGCGTGCCACCCGTTTTTCTATTCTGGTGGGGACTTAAACCTGAATACACACAGACTCATGGGGACTCGTGTCACGGTGGGGACCTAAATTGAGGTCCCCACGGGCAAACAAGCTAATAAATCACACAGAATTAAGTTTTTTGAAAATCTAAAAATGCAGAAAGTTTCCTGTGAGGGCTAGATTTAGGGGTAGGGTTGGTGTAGGGCAATAGAATATATACGGTCTGTGCAGTAGAAAAAACATTATGCCTATGGAGAGTCCCCACAAGGATAGCAAACCAGACATGTGTGTGTGTGTGTCAGCGTAAATGTGTTCTTACCTTTGTTTTAATGTTTGATGAATATGGAGTGTTTTAAATGGGGAAGTGCGTGCCCGCCGTTATTAATTAGCAAAACTTGGGCGTCATGATGGCCTCGAGCTCCGAATTATTTTGTCTGGAACAGCCAGGGAGTTTAATGCAACACTAGTGGGAGTTAACTGGATACATGTTGGTTGATGTTCCTCAGTCATCGTCTGGAATTATGATGGGTGATTAATAACTGCTGGTTAATAATCATATTGCTCTTCGCACACTGCAACACTACCGATTAGCATAGGCGGTGCTAGGGGTGGGGACATAGAGGCAGCGTTCCAAGCAACACTATGATTGAGCGCTATCAATTTTAACATTTTAGACTTGTAAAAAATAACAACTTCTAATTTAAGTGAACTTAAAACAATCTTAACATAAACCCATTATAATAAATGTCATATTTATTCACATTATTATACACATATACCTGTGCCCTTCAGCAGGTAGGAAATACTGCATACAGAAAAATAAGTTATCAAACACTAAATTTTAAATTAAATATAGATGAATCCTACAAAAGTTACAGATCTGACACGCATTGTATTTTCTCACTACTCTTTAACTTTTCTTACCCACTTCAGGTCTTAAAGTCTCTACTAATGAGCTGACGAGTTGAATCGGGTGTGTTAGATGAGGGAGACAGTGCTGGGCTGCTCCAGGACAGTTTTGAAAACCACTGCATTTCAGAGACATGTTCTTAAATCTGACTCATAACAAATACTTACATGCATGCACAGTTTTAAGGCAGCTTTAATTGCCTTTTTGTTAACTTCATGACTTAACCGACGACATAATTACGATATTGCATGCTCATTTTTTATTTTTTTTGCACTTTAATAGCCTATATGAAATTATATACAATGCGCATTGCCCATTTCATGCAATTGAAGAGCACGTGCTACGAGTACAGTATAACTGCTGACAGGACAGGAACGTTTTTTTACTGACATATGGCCTAACAACATCTCATCTGTTTACTGTTGTTCTACTAAAGCTTCCTCGTCACCTGTACCTTTTCCGCGTACATTTGACTAGCGCCTGGTGCTGATCGAGGCAAAGTTGGAGTGTCTTAAGTCTCCTGTTTGATGTAGTCATAAAGACACATGCGTCTAAATAAATGCAATTCTTGTCAAGAAAAAAGAAACATATAGAAACATATAGAAATATTTTAACGCGTTAAACTGAAAAAATTTATGGCATGCGTTAACGCTCTAATTTTGACAGCACTAATCGAGACACATGTTAAATCCTAGGTGTAAACCTATCTATTTTGGCTGACACCAAGACAGATGCTAATACCAGGTGTAAACAGGGCCTCAGTCGTCTTCTCACTGTCCCTGTTTTTGCTTCCATCTTCTCACTATCCCTGTCTGGCTCTGTTCTCACACCATCTCTAGGGAGGCCATGTATGTGTGGAGTGTTTTGATATGAGAATTAATTTCCCTAGTTCCAGTCAGCACAGGGAGACATATAGCCTCCCTAATATGTACTGTGTATTATCCTCCATGGGGCCCCCGTAGGCCTCCATGGTAATTTCCATAGTGAATTTATCAAACACGACAGAGAAAAGAAAAGGATAAAGTCAATTCATTAGCCAGATATGATGACAAATACATCTACACTGAAAGAGAGGGAAATTCTCATTAAAAGCTCAGGTGTGTGTGACTGAACTGGATGAGTCAAGAGAGATGTGTGCCGACCGTCCTGTTTTTGGTTACTAATAACTCTGTACACTACTGAATTTTCAGCAGCCATTCAGGTCTTCAGTGTCACATAATCCTTCAGAAATCATTCTAATTTGCTGAATTGGTGCTCAATTATTATCAATTATTGGTGCTTAGTTAATAATAAACATTCTTAATATCCTTCAGAAATCATTCTAATATGCTGACTTGGTGCTCAAGAACCCTCTCTTATTATCATCAATGTAGAAAACTGTTTGGATTTTTTTTTAGCCTTTCATTTGGGTGTAAAAATACATTGATGCAAAAATAATGGAATAAATATTCCATAGTTGTTGTTGATAAGGCATTCCATTACAATGCCCCACAAATAATCCTGACTTATAAATTATAACTGCTACAACACCAAATATATTATGAATTTTATGATCACACAGTTTGGAAAAAATATATGCATCTTACCAAGGTAATCAAATCAGACTCAGTCCTGACCAGAGTCCAGTTTTTGTGATGCTACACATCATTTAGTGAAAAATCTAATCTGAATTGAATTGTTGTCAAAGCAAACCATTTGCATCCTATTGGATCGTGAACATTATCTCAGAGTATGGGTACAACGACATCTGATTGTAAACGAAAGAAAAGCACAAATTTACCATTTCTGAAGTTTATGAAATTATAGTGCACATAAAAATTCAATTACACACTCCATTATGCAAATAATGCTTCAGTAAATATGATTCTGTAATGTGGCATTAATCTCTTTTATGCATGCCCATGAAGCACATTACCAAACATTAATAGCACCGATTCAAGATTCACAACATGTGACCTCTCTCTCTTTCTGTCCACCCCCCTCTCACTGAATTGTGGAATTGTCTCAGGTTATGAATACTGATTCTTGAAGAGAGGTGACAGTTTCTCGTAGACCAATGTAATTTTATCTAGCCACAATTCTTCCTGCATTAATGTGCATGAATAATGCATATGCTACCTGTGTAAGATAGTTGTAGGGCCACATTAATGTGCGCTAATGGCTGCTTGTGGCATTTACAGAGATGCCACGTCTTTGACATTATTAAGTCTGAGAGGATGGTGACACTTTGTTATTTATTATAAAATAATACTTTTTCATTTAATATTTTGAAGAATAGTGAATAGTTGCAACATTACATGATACCAGAGTGTTCTACATATCCTATAATGCAGCTCTATATTCTAAATGTTGGCATGTTGGATGATAAAAAAAAATCTTATTTCACTTTTTTCCAGTTTCTGTTTAATTTTAGTTTTCTTAAATTAAAAATACATTATCCATTAGTGGTGTGGATTAACCATTACAGAAACATACAAAAAAATTGTTTTGGTAATAACCAATACTGTTATTTTAGGGCATGTAGCAACTCATAATGTAAAAACTGAACATAAAGTAATAAATATGACATTATTACTGTAATAAAATGTACATAATGTAATACTTTTCTCAAAACATAATAAAATCTTGAGTTCATAATGTAATAATAATTTTACAATGTAATAACAATTTTTCACATAATGTATTAGGTTATTGTATGAGAAACGTATTACCTTAGGCCTTGTCTGTGAATAGTCATTTAAATTGATTTGTTACTTGTTTATATTCTACTCAAATGCATAGGCCTAATGTATTTATAATTTTGATCAATTAAAATATATTTATATGTAATCACTGTCATTGTCATCATAACATGGACATTACCTGAGATGTTAAAGTCCACATAATCAAAATTTACAATATTTATTTTGTTAGCGCACATTGCTAATCTTAAAGTCAAGTAATCTGTGCAAGTTAATCCTCTGAAAAAAAAAGTTTGTTTTGGTAATCTTTAATCAAAATCTGGTCATTTGCTTCCGCTCTGGAATGGCATGCCTTCTCTGATGACGTCAGTTTGACGGCTTGGGCAGAATATGCTTAACCACGCACCTCCGACCATTAGTCTGCTGTGAGTGAGAGATGATGAGAGGAGGAGTGCAAAAATAAAACCCCGTCCTCTACTCAATATTCTGTTTCAGTTGGAAATATGCCACCACACTGAAATCCAGTCAGCAGCAACTTACGTTTCACGCGGACTTTAAAGTAAATATGTCCGCAAACTGCGCTCTTTAAAGGATGTGCATTTAATGCATGGCCAAAGTAAGAACAAAATCTAAGTGTTTAAAACATGCAAAGCAGGATTGCCAACTGTTCCCGTATTTAAGGAACATTCCATATTACAGTGGTTCCCAAACTGGGGAGCACAACCCCTAGAGGGGGTGCAGAGCTATGAAAAGGGGGGGGGGGGGGGGGGGGGCGGGGGGGGGGAGCCAATCAGATCACTGGAATCTGCAGCTGCCCAGATTAAGTTAATCTCGGCTCTAGGCTACATAAAATGTAGGCTGCATATAACATTAAGTTTATGAATGCTTTTTCAACAGAGGGGGGGGGGGGGGGGGGGGGGGGGGGGGGGCGCGGCAAGGCTGAGGGATAGTGTACAGTCAGCAGATTATTTAGCAAAAGAAACCTCTGCAGGGGGATAAAGACTACTACACTGTGTATTTTCCCTCTTATCATGCGACCACTTGCCTGATAAGTAAATAATTGAACGCAAAATTAGGCCTGGGCAATAAAACGGTATCGATATTTATCAACGGTACACCTTCTTCGATAACGATAGAAAAAATGTTCGACATAGCGCACGATATAGGCAGGTGCTATGAGTGACGCAGAAAGCACACACAAACAGAACGCATATTCAGCGCATTTTTTAGACGGACAAATATGACAGCTGCACTCGCGTCACAAAAGAGATGTATAGAAAGCCATGCAAAGTTAAAACAGTTAAAATGTTTAGAAAGCACGTCACGAATTTGTGGAGGTTTATTCCTTTTCACTGCGTCTCATATGTTTTTAAATGCAATCTGTGTGAAGGACGCTTCTGCTCTTTGGATTAAGTAATGCATAAATACATGATGCTGTTTTGTTCATAACGGTTTATGCAATTTACGAAATTATATTAGATTTTTATGAGTTAATTTAGACGTAATGCACTTTTTTTTATAGAGTTACTTCCTTGCGTTGACAATTTAATTGTGCTGCATTATTTTGCTCATTGCGCCCTCCTGTGGCCTCGGGAGAGACAAAAAAGACAAAAGTTTATTTAGGACCTATTTAATATGCATATAAAACATTAGAAATTAGATATTTGTTTAATTTTTATTTTGTGTTTGATTGTTAAAACAAACAAAAAATATTTGTTGTTTGTCTCAATAAATTGTGTTAATTTAAAAATACAGTGGTTAAATAAAAAAAAAATTATATTGCTCTTTGTTTTAAAAAAGGTTATAAAAAATGTCAATAATTATTGATACCGAACGATATGAAACATTATATTGTTGATACATTTTTTAGCTATATCGCCCAGCCCTACGCAAAATATTAATGACATATTTTAATTACCTCAACATGACTGGCAGTACCCCCTTGAGCGCTCCCTTATCAGTTGTAGCAGTTGTGTTTGTATCAATGACAGACCACTAGATGGCGCGATTGAAGAA